CGGGGCTTTGAGCAACCTGGTCTAGTGGGAGCTGTCCCTGCCATGGCAGGGGGGGGGGAACTAGAGGATCTTTAAGGTCTCTTCCAACCCACACCTTTGTACAATTCTGTGATTAAGGAAATAAAAGATACACTTGTGAACTGCATGAAGATTCCCATTCACCAGTCAAGAACACAACATTCTCCAAAACACTGCTTACTTACTAGCAATGAAGATGTGCAATAACAAAATCCTCGACGTTATTTTAAAAGCGTAAAAGGTTGAGAATTCTTTGCAAAAATTTGCTTCTTACCATGCCTTTTCCATCTGTGCCCTCGGATAGACATGCTAGTCACAGCATTCCTTGATATTCTGGATGAAGTAGGTGTAATTTCAACCTGAATGCACCTTGTACCTTCTTTACTAGATTTCATGGCACCCTGAGGCAGTGAAGCTTTTATTGCATTAGCAACCTAGAAGAAAAAAGATGCACTTAAGTTCTCAACATGAAGATCCAAATTCCAGAAGAAGTCTATCAGGGGATTCTTATTGCTACAAGAAGAGTACTGTGTATAATTCCAGTTAAAGATCAAAAAACATACTAGCTTTTTGCACATGTTACAAAAGAATGCTGCTTCCAATTGTCTCCCAGAACTAACACTTGCCACTTTTTAAAGCAAATTTCCAGTTTAAAATGTGGCTTCTGCACTCTCATCTAAGGTACCAAGACTTAGAAACGTTCTACTGACAACAGCTTGTTTGCAAGGGAAGCTGACAAACACTGCGTGTGTACGTGTGTGTGTACATACAGGTCTAGCTGTTCCCACAGACCTTGTGGGATTTATGTTCCAACAAGTGAATGCACATATTTCATCACATGCGTGCACAGGACGGATTTCCTAGACTAAAAAATCTACTCAAAAAAAATCAGTGCAATACCTACCAGCAGAGGTTCTGGGTACAGTTCCAGCTGTGCTCTATACAAAACGTCATCCATAGCTTTACGAGCCAGATCCCACTCTCCATTATAACTACAAAGGTAAATATATGCATAATAATAATTATCTGTATCAAAAAATTAACCTTCTTGGTCACATAACCATCACAGATTTAGTGTTCTTTGAGAGCTCAATTTAGAGGAGCTTAACTACTGGTGTTCATTAGCAGTAAAGCTGTTATTTAGAGAACTTGTTCTGAAGTAGTGTCTATGAAGATGAAGTTTTATTTTTATTAGCCACCCTGAGCAGTTTAAAATAATTAGCTACTGATCAGGTAGTTATGAAATATCATGAAATTCAAGATTGTTTCAATATTACTCTACCGTTCTAGTATTCCTGTTTCACTTGTCTCTAATTGTTTAGCTAATGAGAGAGCTTCACACTAGCATGACTGTAAAAGGGTAACGACATCAGCATTTCAGGAAAAAAAGAAATGGTAAGACCTTCTTTCCTTAACTACACTGATGTCAAAATTAATGTGGACAGAGACAACTGTTGGAAAAGATTTTTTTTTTTAAAGACTTTTTTCCTATCAGCAGCTATACCTATTAAGTGCTGTTCTACCCCTCTCTCCCCAATGTGATACAAGTAACTTCAGTCAACTAGCTGGAAAACTACGTTCTCTTCCTGAGGACCTTACTGCTAGAGACAGTATCTGTCCACTATAAAATAAAACATTTCAAAGGTAGCGTGATGAAACGAGCATAAAAATCAAACTGACATTTCTTTATTTTGTATGCATATTAAAAACCAACCAACCAAACAACTTACAAGGCATAATAAATCCCTGTTAGCATTTGCACCATGAATTCCGATGAAACTGGAATCCTACTGTTGACTCCTTTGTACTTTCTCACTTGCTGGCGAGGATATCCACAGACACAAATTCTAAAGAAATCACGTATTTGTCATTAGGAAATAATGTAGAATCACTCATGTATGGAACACAACAAAGCTGGGGGTTTAGCATGGACTGAAATTGCAGATTTCTTATCATGGCAGAAGGGTATATGCCCTCTGCTGACAGAGGTCAAATCCTTCAGAACAGAGACATCCCAGACACTCCTGTTTCATGTTCCACCCGTATAAATGTAAAAAAGCTGCTAGTAAAAATGATTTTGGATCCACACACTTGCTGCAGAACAGATAGAAACAAGTTAATGGTATTTAATGAAATAAAGCAGCATAGGAACTATTAATACTACAGACAGAAATACAAGTGTCATGGCATATACTATAGAAGTTGAATATGCGTTTTCAAGGAAAGAGAACAGAAGTGTCACATTCATAAAATTGTTCTAAAATTCAGTAAAAGCAAGCTTTAGAATTTAGTTCTGAACTAAATTCCTCATCATGTTCTGTAGTCAAAATATTTTGGAAATTAGAGATACTGAGTAGTTAAATATTCAATTCATCGGCTATTTCTGGACCTCTGGAATGACATTTAGTGGCATTAATCAAAGTATTTCCTACTTGAAAGCATAAACTAGAAGGTTTAATCTCAGAAGGCTTCCAGTCTTCAGCTTTAATACCAGAAATCTTGTAAAATTCCTCTTAAACCTGTTTTCTCGCCCCCTCAAAAAAATCAAGTTAAGATTGTATTGCAGTACCTTCTAAATTACATCTGTAACAGATATATCAGGAGCCTTTTTAAAATTAATACTAAATTTGCCAACTTATCTTCTGCTTTGGCAACTTAAAAATGAAGAAAAAAAGAAGATAAACAGACAGCACTCCCAAGATGTCTACAAAATTTGACTCTTCATGCCAGTATCATCATATCTCCAAATGGAAACACGAAGATAAAAAAAAAAAAGGGGTTTAAACATTTCATTAGGAAAGACAGGAAGCCATGCTAGTGACCACATGCAAGTAAACAATAACATCGAGATGTTTTTAAAGGAAAAATCATAAGAAGCCCCATCCAACCTGACCCTGAGCACTTCCAGTGATGGGGCATCCACAACTTCTCTGGGCAACCTGTTCCAGTGCCTCATCACTCTCATCGTAAAAAAATTTCTTCCTTATGTCCAACCTAAACCAATCATCTTTCAGATTAAAATTGTTGCTACTCGTGCTGTCACTACAGGTCTTGGTAAAAAGCCTCTCTCATCTTTCTCATAAGCCTCCTTCACATATACTGAAGGGCTGCAATATGGTCTTCCTGGAGTCTTCTCTTCTCCAGACTGATCAACCCCAACTCTCTCAGCATTTCACAGAATCATAGAATCACCCAGGTTGGAAAAGACCCTTGGGATCATCGAGTCCAACCATTAAGCCTACTTGCAAGTTAACCCCTAAACCATATCACCCAACACCACATCCAAGCGATGCTTAAACACATCCAGGGATGGCGACTCGACCACCTCCCTGGGCAGCCTGTTCCAATTTCTTCACAGGAGCAGTGTTTCAGCCCTCTGATCATCTTCTTTTTGGTCCTCCACTGGACCTGGAAACCCACAGAACAGGTCCACATCTTTCTCCTACTGGGGACCCCAGAACTGGACCCACTACTGCAGATCTGGTCTCACGGGAGCTTAAGTAGAGGGGAAGAATCACCTCCCTCGACCTTCTGGCCACGCTTTTTTTTATTGAGTCTCAGATAGAATTATCTTTCTGAGCTGCACTGCATCTCCAAGACCTCCTCCACGGGGCTGATCTTTATCCATTCCTCCCTCAGTTGCAACCTTGCAGTTGGCCTTGTTGAACTTCAGGAGGTTAAGACACCTATAGCTATAGGATACCTGCCCACTATGCACTGGTACTGAAGGTCATTCCATAAACCTGAGGCTTGTGATGCCACTTTACAGAGTTGGTGAACTGCTGCTCCGGGCATCGGTATTTAATCGTAACTCTCACTGAACTAAACACAAATTTCCCAGACTGGCCTAAACCAAGATTTAAGTGACTGAATTCATCAATTCAAAATCATATTTCTAAAAAATAAACGAAACAAAATATTTTGCTTAATTTGTAACTAACTGCAATTTTTCCCCTAAATTGAAATTGTTGGCCAGAAGCACGGATCTTGTTTTTTCATCCAGATCTTAAACTTGATTTTTTTTTTTATTATTAGGAATACATTACTTCAGACTGTATTGTGATTTGTGTCTCACTATTCAAATGGCTTAAAATGCCAATAAATTTGTATCTTAAAATACTGAGAGTTTATCTGCAAAGCATACAAACAACTAGCTAAAACAAATAAAAGTCTTCCTTCCACTTAAGTGAATCAAATGGACTGTTCTGTTAAATATGCCAAAGATGTTGGAACCAAACAAGTTCACCAGCTCATATTTCATGTTCTCCATACATAATAAAGCTTACAAGCATGAAAGCTGGTTTTCTGACTCTTACCTAGTCCTAAACCACATAGAAGCCAATTACTGAAATTAACTAAGTTCAGTAACTCCCCCAGAAAAATCCCATCCCATTTTCCTCTTCTTTATCCCCCAGAAAAGGCTATTATTACATAACTTGAACCACACTTTAGCTTCAGATAGTCCATATTTTTTACCAATGGTTTCTCTCAGTGATGACATTTAGAACCCACTAAAATAATAAGCATTCAGTGTAAAACAGCAAGTAAGCCTCCAGTTTAAACAAAAAAAAGCTAGTTTACATAAAAAATTACATTTAAACAGGTCATTTTTATGTCAAATATATATATTTATGAATTTACTAGATGCTACTGCATAGGGATAAAGTAAGTGTTTTGGGAGAAAATAGCGACCTCACAGTAGGAACGGGATCTGTTAACACTGACACTTATACAGAAAAGACCTTAATACAGACACTCTATTAATGCCAATACTGATTAGTTTTTAAAAGCTGTACTTTAATCTGAGTTACTTCCACTAAAATGAGACCAGAAGAACTGCTTTGCTGTACCTCAGGGTCAGATAATATTCTTATGAAAAAAGACTTAGTAACTAAAGACGTCCAAATGCAACCAATCTGGATTTACAACACCTGAGACCAGCACAAAATATTCCGTGTTGCAACTGTCACATTTACAGTCCATGTTTGTAAATAAGTGGTACTAGAATCTTTTGTTTCTTTAGACAAAAACTGAATTAGACTTACTAGAAGAAAGCACATCCATTGTGGATTGCTTTCATACAGATCTTCCAAAAAAACCCTAAACACTGTTCAAAACAACTGAAGGAGTTATTCTGAGAATGTTTCTGAGAATTTTGTCAGCACCACATCCAAACAGGATACTGAAAGGTGTCCTGGTCTCCTGACACATATTTCCTTGAATCCCTAAAATACTGTCAAGTCAAGATTTTCAGTAAGCAGAGAACCATGGATGCCAAAACCAAAAGGGAACGAAGAACTAAGATAAAAGTCAAATTGCATAAAATAATTCAGTATCCAAACATTCAGCGTTCTGAGGTTGAAAGACTTGCTTGCGTCTACTGGCGATTTCCTTGCAGATTTTTTGGAGGCTTTTAAAAATTATTTATCCCAAAGACAATAAAAAACTAACCAAGCTTCAATCCTTAGCTTCTAATTATTTTCTCCCTTAAACTTTAGGCCAGCAAATCTAACAAAGATGTAGTAAAGACCCTTGCTAATATTGCTAAGTGCTTTCTCACCTCCTCTGAAGAGGAGAGGATCTTACAGGCACCCATTATCATGTTTTGTTTGCATAAGGAGCCTGAGTTTTGTTTCCTCTGTTCATGAGAGCATTCTAGTTTTTTACTTAACTCAGAATTCACTTTATAAAAACCTAGAGATAGACACCTTTATTACCAGCTCTTCCTCTTTGAAAAAATAAATGGATCAAAAATAGATATTGTATTAAAGCTGAAGTGGGTTTTGGTTTCTGTTTTGTTTTGCTTTTTGAAGTAATAGCAGATTTTGGAAATATCTGAAGTATCTGTATGAATTAATATATTTCTAGATTCAAGATCTACTATAATTTCAAGAAAGTTTCAGCTTGCACAGCATTCATATATATTTAATAGGCTTGCAATGCAAAATTTATCAACTTTTTAGAAGACGTTTTGGATTTTATTCAGTTAACACACCTACAACTACTTTGATTAAACACAGACAGTTCTCTTGATTTGATTTCTCCACTTAACAGCACTACAATATAAGCCAGGTCATTGCTTCCCCATTTTTGAGATCTCAACTCAAAGTTATATAAGAGATACTTTAAAAGCAAATAACGCAGCTGTAAACACTGAGTAAAAAAGAGTCAAGTTTACAAGCAGCTTTTGGGAATCTAAAACTTGGGTTTTTAATTAAAAAAAAAAAGGGTCAAACTGATTGCATGTCAAGTTGAAACTGTCATTTTAAGTGTAATTACTACAGCAATTACCTTGAACAAATCTGACACAACGACTGAAGAGAGACTGCAGGCATGTAGCTTAGGGCAGCGTTGTAACAGAGCAGAAGGAAAGTCAGCACTTCAAACCTAGGATTTACAAGAAACATTAGAATTACATTCTCAATTTTATTTAAAAAAAAAAAACACAGAAGTTTACTTAGAAATTTGCAAGAGTTATTTGAACAGATCTGGTATTTAATTTCAATCAAATTGATGATTTATTCTCCAAGCTTTTTTCTTCATGTAGTGCATTGCTCATCTTTCTGCATCTACATTTACACTTTTACAAACAAAAACCACCACAAAACACAGCATACACTTATCCACCTTCAGTCTGTAACTATATTAAAAATTAAAAGATTCATTAGTGATTCTAAAGCAAAACTCTCTTATAGAATTTCACCTGTTCTGTGCTGTTAACATCTCCCTCTGAGGATGAGGTCCACTGTACACAACCCTGGACAACCCATGCTGCGATAAAGCTCCTTCAGTGAGAGCCATGGAGCCAATGCTGGAAGGCTGAAGGAAAAAAGGGTTATTCAAAACACATTTGTGTCAAGTCTTGCTACAATGCAAGTGAAAATACATGTCAATCAGCACCACCATATTTGTATGTAATTTTTCAACAGGCTAAAGGATACCTTCCTGCACAGCTGTTTTTTTACACCCAATAAGGTATTTGGCTTCAGAATAGAAAGACATAGTTGGTGCACAGACATTACCAAGTTATGACTATTCAGTCTTGAAGAGGCCTCAGACACCAGTCAGGAGTACTCAGAAGACTGAGAAATACGTTCCTATGCCATCGTGCAACACTTCAAAACTACTTTTCACTTTCATTCTTAACCATGCCCCCAAAGCACGCTGCCTTTCTCCATCAGTAACAACTTGATGTTGTAGACAGCACTTACTTCATGGTAGACTGAAGGTTTGGACAAAGACGGAATTGTGAAACTCAGCACTTTGCTGTGTCCCTCTTTGTCAACTATCTCCTGAAAAAGACAGAAGACACCAATGGTTATGTTGTACTACAGAAACTAGACATTCAAAAATATGGGTGGGAGTGAATGGATAAAGAAAGCCAACAAATTATTATAGGGACAAACAGGGATACTATAACAACCCAGGCTGTAAGCTAGAATTGTCTCTGTATTTACCTTCTCTCACAGTGCATTTGCTTTGTTTCTGAAAACTATTCAGCAAAGGACACGTGCACTTGCTTATGTAGAGTCCACGTTATTAAACAGTGTTTTCTTGGTTTAATTATACATGATTTCCTAGTTGTGAAAGTGAATGCTCAGTAATTCTGTTATGAAAACTGTTTATCCATCAAGTAATAATCCTACAAATAATGTGGTTTAGAAGTACTATAGCTCTGGAATGATTGCAGCCTTATATGACTTGATAGTAGCAGATGTCATAGTATTTGCAAAAGCCCAAGTCTGATAATTCCATACTTTAAAGAGAGAGTTACAAGTAGCACAGATGCAAAGCTTTAGAGAAGCTACTTTCCTGCAAGATACCACCATAGCAGTATGTTGGCAGACTTCTCAATCCTGTAAGACTAATGGGTAAGGCAAAAATATCTGCCTACATATCACAGAAGAGCACTGAAGTACTTCAGATTAAAAATAAATAAATAAGAAATTCCAAAGCAGACTTGACCACTAACCAGCACCACACAAACGAGAACTTTTTTTGTTGTTGTTTAAATCTCAGGAGAGTTTGGATATCCAAAGTCAGAGGTTAGAGAAGAGTTGTGGTGTCTCCTAACATCTATGTCTTGGAAGACTGAAAGAGTAACTTCACACACTAATTATTGAAACTCGTGTCAAAGTAGAACATGAATTGGCAAAGGAAGACTGAGAAATATCAAAAAGGCATACAGAGCTGTTCTGTCTGAAGAGTTAGACAGCTCCTTCACTCTCCACATAAACGATACTTGAATTTTCAATATTGCTTCTGCATCAGTGTGGAAAACAGTTTCCTCAATGCACGGGAGGAGAAGGGAAGAGAAACTAGTAGCTACATTCAACCTTTTAAAATCTAGAAATATCAATATTTTGACTCTTCGTTCTAATCCATTTGTAATTAAGTTTCAGGAGTGCATTTCAAGATCTGAAGGGTATTAGACAAAAATGACACCTACAGCCAGGAAAGCCAAAAATACCAACTGCTTGCACTACCACTGTATGTCTCCAAGCTGAAGGTAGAACAAACCAGCTTGTGTTCCCAAGGTTCAGCCAAAATAATTCCATATCTCTGGCAACATAGTGAATTTAAAATTATTCCGAGCGATACCTATTTTTTCAATTTCCTTCAGAAAGAAACTGCAGGACTCTGTTGATCATATTCATTCCTTCAAGATCCAAGAGACGATTGTATATATTTATAGGATTACTATTTGTATTAGGCTACATCTTTCATCTTCCTTTTGGTCAGATGAGAAAATACGTATCTAAGCAGGTCACCTACTACCTTTTCAACCTTATAAACTGAAGAAACAGTACCACTTTGGTTCTTTAATTTACAAATTTTATCTAACATCAACAGAGGAGAAGAAGTCAGTATCAGTATGGGGCATTACTTTAGAATAAACATTCATTATGCCTTAAAGCAGAAGTGGGAAAAATAAATAAATGTTTCCAAAAATCAGGGATCTACAGAATCCTACAGAATCTCACTGTAAAACTCTTTTGATGACAAGCCCCTGGAGATGACGATGTTACTGAGGAAGAAACTGTACATAGCTAAGAGAAGATGGTCTGAGACTGGTTTCAAGCTTAACTGTAAAAGTAATCTCTTCTAGGAGAAAAACAAGCGACTACAACCACATCCATCAATCATTTTTAGATTACTTCTTCAAGTCAATTCACTCCTTTATTTTCATAAGGCACAAGATGTACAAAATGCTTTCCGGGCTTTTTCTTCCCACAGAAAGCACACAAAGCCTGTGCTCTGCCCAAAGAAGAGTTGAATATAAAGGCTCAGGTCTTTTTAAGTAGACTTCTGGGTGAAGAAGGTTTTCACTCGCTTGGTAAAGACACTTGAGATTATTTTTAGAAGGATGGGAGCTGCCTTCTTCAGATTTTCAGAATGTGAAGAAGAGATTTGTAGTTCATCATTGTTTCACTTGCCATAAAGCCTTCCTAAAACACCCAGAACATGGAAACAGCACTGCAGGAATCTCAGTGGACATGGTAACACTAAGCTTTTTATAATGCTCATAAAAGGACTAAATGCGTAACTAAAATACGGTGCTCTTAAAGGTTCCTTCATATTTCTGTCCATCAAACCAGTAAAATAGTAACAAATCGTATGATTACATACAAAATAAGAAAAATGTGTTAAGGGCATTACAAAATGAAAGGAGACCTTTAATTTCTCAAAGCTAAGCAATCTGTTCAGCAGTCAAGTACAAAGAATTTGCTGAAAGTAACTTTTTGTGTTTTCTCGTCAAAATACCCCCAAAAATATGGGCAACCACTTCAAAAGTAGCACCTCTAAAAGCTCTCAGGTAGAACATAAGTTTAATCACCATACCAAGAATTAAGTAACTAATAATTAAGAGGACCCCTTTGGCTCATTCAGCTATTAGTGCATTAACACTTTCCAGGAACCACAAAAAGTAGAGAAAACTTTCACCAAAATAAAGGAATGAAAGTTCATGTTGCAGATTTCTGACAAGGAAACCAATTTGAAGAGTCAAAACTGAGATAATCAATCACTTAATTTCAATTTGGAAAGAAAACTGTTAATTATTCCCCAGTAAAATATTCTATAGTATCCCCTAAAAGTACACCAATATTTTTAGGCCTGAATAACTACAGACAAATACAAACCAAGTTATAGACTCCTAGGAGGAGAGCCTCTATGCATCCACTACTCTGCAAATCTCTGCTGGCTGAGACGGAAAGATAACACCACATCAATTCAGGTAGAAACTGCAGTGTAAATCGTAGCAATTGTTCCTCACCGCTGCGGTAGAACTCAAAGAGCTGATGGCAAACTGGCTCCAGCAGCTGAAATATAAATTACAAATGAATAAATCAAAAAAATCCATTACAAGAAACTGTAACTTTGTGTGGATCAATCTTTTGGCCAAAAACGTAAACTCATAAATGTTGCATTTTAGTTATTAGGGAGTGACTGAGGAAACAACCGCACAAGTCACCTTACACACTTTTCATCCCTTAGAACATACTCCCAGATGATAAAAGCAGAGCTTTCCATTGCATGTGAAGAAAAAATTCCAATGGCTCCTTTCTCTCTATTTTGGCTCACTTCCTCCAGCCTCAAAGGCATAAACAGAGAATACTTGTTATCACCACACTCCATACCACGCCTTCTGTATCTCCAACAGACAGGAAAAATATCTGAACAAAAAATTTCCGACAGCGTACACAAGAATTGCTGGAAGCTTTTACCCACCAAGTGGGAAGAGCTGCATAACACTCAAATTCAAACTATTACAGTAAGTTTGCATACAGCAGAATTAGTTCACTTTTCCATCCCTCTTCTAGAAACGTCAAGGTATTTATAGGTTTGAAACAGAAATGGGAAGCTTCAAGAGTAATTTCACAAGTGAATTTGTTAGGCTGATATAAAATGAAATAATACATTGAACTGGAAGTGATACCCATTGAGCTAGAACAAGCTAAAAAAAGACTTAATTAGAATTAAGCAATCTGTTTGCACTGTGCTTCTGGATTTAATGTGCATTATTTGTGCTGTCACCTACCTCTGCCAGAGGTTGAAACATATTGTTAATCACCATGTCAATGTATGAAAGTTTAAATTTATTTTATCACTCAAATATGTTTTCTAGCCCAAAGTGGAAAACACAGTCAAAACCAGCAGGCACTTTTTCAAAGCCAGCTGGACTGGACACTGAATTCTCCATCAAAAACTCAAAACCACACACTTAAATGCTTTTGGCAGCAAACACTGCAAACCATCAATAAAAGTTTGGAACTGTAAAAGAATTTCTTCTAAAAAAGCGGAGTAGGGAAGGAAAAAAAGGAGATTTTTCATTAAATCTTCTAAATCGTTTATTTGCAAGTAATAATAAACATGAGGACCCTATAATCTAAGAAACTACTCCTTGAAACAGGCTTTAGGCAGATGACATGTTTACATTAGCAAACTTTACAAAATGGAATCTGAGATTCCAGCTATTTAGAATTAATTTTATCAGATCTAACTAGTACATAAAAAAAGCATTACAGAAAACGTGACATTCTCCAGTTGCCAATCTCTTCAAGACAAGATTCAAATGTAACATACCTAAAGGACTAATTTTGCCACCTTGTTTCTTACCTTCAAGATTTAACTTCATCTGCATGACTCACAGATATAGGTTCTAATTTTAAAACCAGGAATGTTCAGGCTAGTAATAGACCTTCACTAAATATATTCCTGCACAAAATCCCCAAAAGTTTCAACCTGAAAACGACGGAATCCAAACTAGACATGCATTTTGAAAATATTCTAGAGACTGCACTGAGAAAAGATACCGTAATGGTTAGAATTGCTACTGCACTTGAGAAAGCAAAGTATTGCTCAACACTTCTCTGTTTTTTAAGGATTTTCTGAATATGCATATGTACTTTACTGTTAGCAGCACGCATTTTATTCTAACTACAACATTCAGTTCTGCTATTTGTTTAGGTCACACCTTCAGTTTTTCAATGGAGCAAGCTTTCACAAAGGAAGAAACCCATTCTTCTGTTATATCCTCCCTTTATTGCAACACCACCAAAAGAGTGTGCTGAAAAAAAACCTGCTCACTTTCCCAGGTTTTTCCTCCTGACTACAAAGAAAGTCAAATCAACACTTCTTACCTCTCAAAGTTACTTCTGAACCCAATGATCTTGGCAAGTTTGGGTTCTTTTTAAGAAGTGTTTTGGAACAATCTGATCCATTCAAAGAAAGAGGAGCTTCTAGCTCCTGACAAATAAAACTTCTCTTTGGAAAAATTATTTGTGAAAAAATCTATAGCATAGACAAAAAAAAATTAAGTATGTCAAACTAAATCCGTTGTTGGCTTCAAGAGCAGAATATCAAAGATCCTTCCAGAAAACTTTACCAACACAAGTGAGAGCGTTTACTTTCATCCTCAGCTCACATATTTCACACAATTTGCACGGTTCCTTTAATCAATTACCAGTTCAGAATTATGTGCTTGAACTTTAAAAGGCCCATAAACAGCTATGACAGGTATCCCTGTTCATATCATTATCTCAGCTGAGACAGCTTTATATCAGCATATCTAAAGGCTTAATCAGTACAGAACCAGATTTTCTTCCTCAAAATGCCACCACATGCTACAATGTCATATCAAAAATGCACTCGCAATTGTTGCTGTTTCATGACACTGTTTTACACTGAAACAGTTCTAAGCGGTACCTAGATCGAAACATTTTTTAATGCTGGAACGGAAGAATGTCCAATTTCAACCCTCTTCCTTTTAAGCTGCATCCAAATGTGCTAGACACTTCAAACAGCATTTCTTAATGCAAATGCCTGCATGACTACTGTCTAAAAGGACAGCAACAGTATTTTAGGTAGAAAGCAAAAAATCTTGAATTTGTGAATAAACAAATCTCAGAAATCTTTACTTCTGGACTCAAGTCAATTAAAAGTCCTGTAAGTCTTCACATCCACTGAAGACTCCCCTCATATTTAATTATGTTTTTCACTTTTCAGTGGCCCAGGAACCTCAAAAGTAACTCACAAAGTCTTAACTAAGAAATCTATGATAAACCGCTTATTTCTTTGATATAGCAAAGAAGTAGTTCATTTATCTCACAAGTTGATTATTAAATTTTCAAAAAACTGAAACAACATCAAAAAAACGTATTGAAAGTAAACAGGAATCAGCAG